CAATAATAATATGTCAATAAAGATTGAAATTGTCAAGGACTTCATTCTTCTTGGATCAACTATCAACACTCATGGAAGCAGCAGTCAAGAAATCAAACGACATATTGCATTAGGCAAATCTGCTGCACAAGACCTTTTTAAAGTGTTGAAGAGCAAAGATGTCAGCTTGAGGACTAAGGTGCATCTGACCCAAGCCATGGTATTTTCAATAATCTAATATGCATGTGAAAGCTGGACAGTGAATAAGCAAGACCATAGAAGAATTGATGCTTTTGAGTTATGGAGTTGGAGGAGAATATTGAAAATGCCATGGGCTGCCAAAAGAACCAATCGATCCATTTTAAAGAAGTGCAGCCAGAGCGTTTCTTGGAGGGCAGGATGGCCAAACTTCGTCTCTCATACTTTGGACATATTGTCAGGAGGGACCAGTCCCTGGAGAAGGATATCGTGTTTGGTAAGGTAGAGGGTCAGAGGAAAAGAGGAAGACCCCCAATGAGATGGATTGGCCAAGTAGCAGCATCGATGGACTCAAGCGTGGCAACAGTAGTGAGGTTGGTCCAGGATCAGGCAGTGTTTCGTTCTGCTGTACATAAGGTCACTATGAGTCGGTACCGACTTGATGGCACCTAACAAGAACAGCAACAATATTGAGGGACCAGTACTCACAGAAGGACATTATGCTTAGTAAAGTTGAGAGTCCGTGAAAAAGAAGAAGACCCTTAATGAAATGGATTGATTCAATGACAACAATGGCGCCAACACACTAACAATTGTGAATATTGCTCAGGACCAGGTGGGGTCGATATGAGTCTAACCAACTTGAAGGCACCCAGCCACAAAGGGTGTGGCACTGTAGGATCAGCACTGGACTGCCAACCACAAGGTCAACAGGTGAAACCCACCAGCTGCTCCTTGGAAATCCTGTACAGGGTTGTCATGAGTCCAACGACGCCACAGCACTTCTCTACAAAGGGCAGACAAACTGCAGTTACCAGAGTACACCACACGGGGTCACCCAAGCAGAGTTTTTAAGGATGAATAGGAGTTTCCCAGTAGCATACAGAGAAAGATCCTGGACATAGAAAAATCAGGAAAAAAACTCAATTAAAAAATAGACAAAAGACTTGAATAGATATTAATCCAAAGAAGACATACAAACGACCAGTGTTATTTTATTGTCATTAAGTGCCATTTAAAGTATTGAAGAGCAAAGATGTCAGCTTGAGGACCAAGGTGCGCCTGACCCACGCCATGGTGTTTTCAATAGCCTCATATGGATGCGAAAGCTGGACAGTGAATAAGGAAGATCGTAGAAGAATTGATGCCTTTGAGTTGTGGTGCTGGAGGAGAATACTGAAAGTGCCATGGACTGCCAAAAGAACCAATAGATCTGTTTTGGAAGAAGTGCAGCCAGAGTGCTCCTTGGAGGCCAGGATGGCTAAGCTTCATCTCTCATACTTTGGACATATTGTCCAGAGGAAACAGTCGCTGGAGAAGGATGTCATGCTGGGTAAGGTGGAGGGTCAGCGAAAAAGAGGAAGACCCCTAACGAGATGGATTGGCCAGGTGGCATCATTGATGGACTCAAGTGTGGCAGCGGCAGTGAGGTTGGCCCAGGATCGGACATTGTTTCGTTCTGCTGTGCGTGGGGTCGCTATGAGTCGGTTCTGACTCGATGGCACCTGACAACAGCAAGTGCCATCTAGTCGGTTCTGATTCATAGAGACCCTGTATAAGGTTCCCGAGGTGTGGCTGGTGGGATTGAACTGCTAATCTTATGGTCAGCAGTCCAGTGCTTATCCTACAGGACCTCCAAATGACCAATAATCTCATGAAAAGATGTTCACTGTCATTATTCAATGTTATTGTTAGTTGGTCTGTCTCTTGGGGACCCCCCCGTACAACAGAACAAAACACTGTCCAGTCTTGCACCATCTTGACAATTGTTGGTACATGCAAGTTCACTGTTAAAGACCTTGTGCATTCTTAGTGCCTTCCAACCTGGAGAGCTCATCTTCCAACACCATAGAGGTGTTGTTAAGTCGAGTTGGTTCCAACTTATAGCAACCCTATATAGGGTTTCCAAGAAGCGGCTGGTAAGTTCGAACTGCAGACCTTGTGGTTCAAACTGACCTTGCGGTTGAGTGCTTATCCTACATCGCTACACCAGGACTCCAGCACCATATTAGACAAGATTATGTTGTGGCCCATTTGGTTTCGTTGTCTGATTTTTGGAAGTTGATCTCCAGGACTTTCTTCCTAGTCTCTCTTAGTCTGGAAGTTCTGCTAAAATCTGTCCACCGTGGGTGACGCTGTTGGTATCTGAAATACCAGTGGCAGTAGCGTGCCATCAAATCAGCCCTGACTCATAAAGACTGCAGTGTGCAACAGAACAAAACATTCTCCAGTCCTGTGGCATCCTCACAATTGTTGCTATGTTTGAGTCCATTGTTGAAGCATCATAGCAACACCTAAGTCATCATAGTAAGACAGACAGACAGACAACGGATGGTGGCATTAATCATTGTTGTTGCTACTGTATGCTGTTGAGTTGTTTCTGACTCATAGCAACCCTATGCTGTTGTTTATGATTGTCGTCGAGTCGTTTCCAACTCATAACAACCCTGTATAGGGTTTCCGTAGAACAGCTGGTGAGCTTGAACTTTCAGTTCAAAGGGTTTTGTAGTCTGGCGCACTTGCCCACAGTGCCACATCAGGACTCAGTAAAGATTACAGCCTATGGGGCAGTAAACCCTATGGGGCAGTTCTACTCTGTCATCGGGATTCACTATAAATTGGAATCAACTCAATGGCATACAACAACAACAACAACAACAACAACAGGGATCTTCTTATTGGGTGTCATCGGGTCAATTCTCCACTCATAATGACCTGATGAATAACAGAACCAAACCTTACCAGCTCCTGCACCATCCTTACAATTGGTGAAATGTTTCGTCCCATTATTGCAACAACTTCCTCAATCCAGCTCATTAAGGGTGTCCCTCTTTTGTGCTGACTAGTAAAAAGATGTCCAAGTCTTAACCACAAGCACCTGTGAATGAGACCATGCTCAAAAATAGGATCTTTGCAGATGTAATGAAATGATCTCCAAATGAGATTCATCCTGAATTTGGAACTCACTCTAAATTCAAAGATTAATACCTAGATAGAGACCTGCCATCTAGATGACTCTAATTCACTGATGGACATTACATACAACAGAATGAAATGTTACCTGGTCCCGTGACAGCCTCATGATCACTGGCATGGTTGAATCCATTGTTGTGACTACTGGGTTAATCCACTTCAATGAGGCTCTCCCTCACCCTTGCCGGCCCTCTCAATCAAACATGATGTCCCCTCCAGTGATTGATCCCTCCTGATGACATCTCCAAAGTAAAGGCATTGGTTAATGTTCTTTTGTGGTCTATAGAATTTTCATTGGCTGGATTTCTAAAGGAGATCACCAGGTGATTTTGAGTTGTGCCCTGAAAGCTTTACTCTAAAGGTAAAGGTCCTGAAAGCTTTACTCTATCCATGTCAGTAAGGTCACCTCTCCTTTGAGGAGGTAACTCTTTCCCAGTGGTATTTTGAGTGCCTTTCAACCTGAAGAGCTCATCTTTCAGCACTGTATCAGATAACACTGCACTACTTACTCTTCACAAGGTTCTCAGTGGCTAACCATTTAGAAGTAGCCCACCTTTCTTTCTGGAAAGCTCTACCAAAACCTATCTACTATGGGTTCTGGTATTGAAAATTCCTAACTTTCAGGATCACAGCAGCACACTGACTGATAGGTGGTGGAAATCCAATGGCAAGTGTGCTTATAAAAGAAGGGAGATGGAAAGCCTTCAGAAGGCCCCAGAACTGGGAGAGAATCAATTACTGGTGTCTTAAAGCTACTAAGTTTGTGGCATTTTGTTATGGCAGCCCCAGGAAAGTAAAATATGTGCCTGTTTATCATTGTATTGACTGGCTCCTAAGGCCACTGGAGAAAGATGAGGCTTTCTACTCCCGTAAAGATTTACACCCTCGGAAACCCTGTACAGGGTCGCTATGGGTCGGAACCGACTCGACGGCACTTAACAACAACAACAACAAGGCCACTGGAAAGCCGGGTGTTTTGCCTCCTTTGATTTGTGCTCAAGAAATATTTGCTGCATACACCTATATTAATTGCCAGATAGTAAGTGTATTTGCTACATACTCTTACTATTGTCAGATTTTGTTCTAAGTGCTTTTTCATGGCTTAACTCGTTTCATCCGCACTGCCACTTCGCGCTGTAGGATCAGCACTGGACTGCGAACCACAAAGACAGCAGTTCAAACCCTATACAGGTCACTATGAGTGTAAACCAACTCCACGGCACTTAGGCACTTAATAACAGTCACCTTCTAGAGCAGATCCTATTATGATACCTATTTCATAGTGGAGTAAATTCGGTCTCTGAAAGGTGAGAATGGGTTCTAAGCTACCAAAACACGTGCTCTGAATAAGTATCAACTTCGATCATGAGAAGACTATGGACCCCCAAAGAGCAACATTGGACCCACCTCCTGGTGTGGGGCTGTAGGATAAACACTGGACTGCTAACCACAAGAAGTTCTTGGTAAACCCGAAACCGGAAGGACTAGATGGCACTTAACAACAACCACTTAAATTTCTCATCTACAAACAGAAAGCAATGTTGATTTTGCCCACAGCGTGGCGCCCAGGAGACTGGCGAGGGCGTCACGTTGCGCATGCGTCATTACCCACAATGCCCCCTGCACTGGCGCTCCTTGTTTCACGCCTTTTCCCAGCACTTATAGTAGCACTTGACGGCTTCTCCAATGGGGAACACGGCTTCGCCCCGCCCTCCGTGGCCACTAGGTTCCGTCCCTCTCCGCAAGGATTGGGTAGTTGCTCCCAAGATCCACGGTGATTGGTTCATGTCTCTGCCAATCCTTTTTAGCCTAGTGGCGCGTAGCTAGGCTGCTAACGGCACGAGCAGCGGCAGCGGCGGAAGTGGCCGGCGAACCCGGTCCCCGCCGGTACCATGGTGAGGGGGAGGCGATGGTTTCGTTGCGATGGCGGGGGTTCGCCGGGAGGCATGGGCGCGGCTGCTGGGGACCCTCGGGGCGGCGTGGGGCGAGCATGCACTCTGTGCTTGGAGCCCCGCCCTTCGGTCCGAGGCGGGAAACAGGCCGGGAGGGCAGGTGGCTCTCCCAGGTCCCCAACACGTCTTTCTAGAGCACTTTAGAGCAAAAAGACATGGAATCATTGCATAGCGGCTTAACTACAGCCTTTCCATTTCGCAGAGAGGGAAACTGAGGCTTCAGCGGGCGTGAATCCGCCCAGTACACCTTGAATGCTGCAGAATGGGTTTTCAGGCTGGGAAGGAACTCTGAGCGTATAGAATGGAAAATAGGATGTAGGAAAGCAGGGGACCGCTGTGAGCTTTCCAATTAAATGGGTTCCGGGGATTTCCGGGCTGGAAGGTGCTCAGTGTATTAACAGCATCCCATCCTGTGCCTCACGTTTTCAGAGGAGGAAAAGGTCCAGAAAAGTTATTGCCTCTCCCTGGGTCACACAGCATGTCATTCCCGGGTGGATTAAAGCTCAGAGTTGACCAAATGCATCCTCCGGGTTCACAGAACTATTGAAGTCAAGCGGAGGGAAACGTGCCCTCCCCTCAAAGGCAGGGAAATGCACGGGGATGTCAGCACTGAGAGCTTCCTGGGAGATAACCTGACTGCCTGCCTAGTATTGGGGGAGAGAAATCGAGGCCCGCTGTGAAGAAGTGATTTCTGTCCACTCTGGAATAAGTTGGGAATTTTGGACGCAGGTGGCCCTCAAGGTGTCCCTTTGTGCTTCTCAAGAGTTGTTGTTGTTAAGTACCATCAAGTTGGTTCTGACCCATAGCGACCCTATATAGGGTTTCCAAGGAGTGGCTGGTGAGCTTGAACCACCGACCTTGTGGTTCAAATGACTTTGCAGTCCAGCGCATTAACCCACAGCCCCACACCAAAAATTCATACTAGCCCTAAATCCTGCTGGCTGATTTGGAGACCTAGAGAAGGGAGACAGATGGCCCAAGGGCTTGGGCAGAACTGGAAGGACCAGGTCTTTAAACTTCCCGAGGCAAGATCTTTGTTTTAATCCCAGCGCTGTGGAGTGGAGTCGGTTTGGACTCGTGAGGACACCATGTGCTTTAGAACTGTGCTCTCTAGGGTTCTCTTGGCTGAAATCTGGACAGAAGCACATCACCAGGTCTCTCACAGCACCCGTGGGTGGGTTTGAACCTCTTACCCGTAGATTAGTAGTTAAGCAAAACTTGCTTGTGCCACTGAAGGACGTGGGACCTACCACAGGGTCTCTCTGAGCGTCCTGGAGCCTCCACCCTCCTGGAGTTTCCTAGCACAGAAAGTGGACGTGTAGAAATGCATTTGCCCTGTGGTTAGAGGTGGGCTGGAGGGAAGGTCCCTCCTGAACTTCCAGTGGGCTTCCTGGATGAGGGGTCATTGGGACTCATCCTCTGTGGGTGTGGACCTGAGCTCCTGGCCCCAGAGTTCTAAAGAAGGAGGAAGTTCTCTCCTGACATTTTTGTGACTTTTCCACCTCCTGGTGGCCCTGCCTCCCTTGAACCAGCCTCTTTTTCAGACACTTTTTCATGCCTCATCTTCCCTATGGGGTTTCAAGTCCTGGAGGACCCAGCCTTTACCTTTCCAAGGCAGTGTGGTGATAGAGGCAATACGATGGGACCACTGCCCCAGCCGGGGGTCCCGCAGCCTAATTCTGGCACTTCTGCTCCCCGTCTGTGGCTGTTGTCATTTGCTGCTATTGAGTCAACCCTGACTCCTGGCACCCCTATATACAGCCTGGCCCTGTGTCGTTGACAGTCCTCTCACTGAGGGGCTCCCTCACCCTTCACCAAACATGATGTCTTTCCCTATAAATTGATCCTTCCTGATGATAAGGCCAAAAAAGCAAGCCAATTAGACTGTGTTCTCGTGTCATCATGGGGTTTTCATTGGCTACTTTTCAAAGTAGATTGCCAGGTCTTTCTTCCTAGCCTGTGTTAGTCTGGACGCTCCACTGAAACCTGTTCGCTCTGGGTGACCGGACTGGTATTTGAAATGTCTGTGGTATAGCTTCCAGCATCACAGCAACATGCAAGCCCCCAGAGTACCTACCACAATCAACAGATGGGTGGTAGTCTCCCATCTAAGTCCTTTTTGCTTCTCTGTGAAGGGACCATACAGCCACCCGCCCTACCTGCTTCCTTGGGGAGTGGGTATTTCCCTCCCATGGCTTTATTCAGTGAATGTTTACCTGGTTCCTTTCCTGTGCCGGGCACGCAATTCAGCACAGCCCCGCCCTTGGAGTTTTCCAGTCTAGCAGGGAGCTGGCGTTTCCAGTCCAGCCAGGGAGACAGGTGATAAACAAACAAGATAATTAGAGACTCGAAGATGGTGACAAACAGCAGCAATACTTGGAGAGTGGAAAGCTCAGCTCCTGGATGGGGTTATTAGAGTGTGTGGGAGACAACCATTAGTTGGGCTGGGAGGGGCAGGGCAGGTGACCTGGACTAGTGTGGGCGCAGGAGGCATTGTGGCGGGCGCTGGGCGGGCCTGGGTGGAGAAGCCTGTAGGAGGGCAGAGAGCAGGGCTCAGCTGACGCCATTTAGCTCCCTGACATTCCCTCCACCTGGGAGGAAGGGGACTGTCCTCCCTGACTGTTGGGACAGGTGGTGGCCTGAGGGTGACCATCACAGGTGTGAGTATTGTGTGACCAGCACAAGAAGCCGCCCTCAGCATTCCCAGAGCCTGGCCAGGCCCCTTCTGGTGAAGTGAGGGGGTTGTGGCTGTCTTCCAGAGCCAGCCTGACCGGCTCCCCACTGTGACAGTCTTGGTCCCATCCCACGGAGTCCACATACACAGGAAAGCAGCCCCTTGCTGCTGTCGAGGGGGGTGTGGACACGGTTCCCACACTCACTTGGAGCTGATGCAGCAGAAGTGGGGAGTTCCTTGGTGGTGCATAGTTATGCGCTTGGCTGCCAGTGGAGAGGTTGGTGCTTCCAGTCTACTCAGACACACTCAAAATAAAGGCCTGGTGATCTGCTTCCCAAAACTCAGGCACTGAAAACCCTATGGGGCGCAGTTCTACTCTAATACACGTGAGGTCACTCTGAGTTAGCGTCAACTTCACAGCAGCTGGTTTTGGGGAAACACAGCTGGGCCGACTGCCCTCCTTTAGCTTCACATGAGGCAGCCACCCCTGCTTCCTCCTTATCTGGCCTTCCAGGAAGCCAGCTGAGGAAGTGGACTGGGGCCTGGCTTCCTGCTGGTGCGGTCTGCCTCCTCCCACATGCAGCTCTTAAGAAAGGCCTCAGGGTCCCCTCCAGCCCCTCCACTCAGCATGCTAGTAGGAGCAGAAGCCCACTCACAGGGCTGCCCCAGAGAAGCCACTGCCAAAGGGCCTGTGGACCCAGTGGCAGGCTAGGAACCCCAAAGTGTTGGCTAGGCCAGATGTACGTGGTCTAAATCGCAGTCATCAGAATGGATGGTGTGTAGAAGGCCTTTTGTATTTGCCAAATGAGGGGTCGATTCCCCCCACACCCCAGTTAATCTATAAAAGAACTACATGTTCATCATAAAATAGGAATTCCGGGGAGCCCCTGGGTGGTGCAAACAGTGAAGCACTCAGCCACTAGCCAAAAGGTTAGCAGTTTGAACCCACCTAGAGGGATGTCGGGAGACAGGCTGATCCAGTCTGCTTCCAAAAGAAAAACCCTATGGAGCAGTTCCGCTCTGGGGTACACATGGGGTTGCCATGAGCCAGAATCAACTGCATGGCAACAAGACAGATTGAAAAGGAAATTCCGTGATGGAGAAAGAAAGCATTTGGATGTTTTCCTTACCAGGTAGGGAACTGCCACCGAGTCCACTCTGACTCATGGGGACCCTGTGTATAACAGAGTCTCCCTCTCCTGCATCCTCCTGGTCACAGCCATTGTTGAAACTTCTGTGCCAGTCCATCTTGCCCTTGACCTTGCTGGCCTTGTTCACACATGGCACCCTCCGATGATGTACCCGAAGTCAGTGTCCTCTTGTCACCTATGGAGTTCGCATTGGCTGATTGGCAGCAGTAGGCTTTTCCCTCTAGGCTGCTGTAGTCTGGAAGCGCCTCTGAAACTTGTCCAGCACAGACGGCCCTGCTAGTATTTGAGATACAAATGGCATAGCTTCCACCGTCACCAAAACCAAACAAACGCACTGCCCTCAAGTCAGTTCTGAGTCCTGGCAGCCCCACAGGACACACCAGAACGACCCCATCAGGTTTCTGAGGCTTTCATCTGCAGCTGCTGGCATTTAGATTATCAGCCCAGTCCTTAACCCACTGCACCAAGTACCACAAAATGGTAGCTGGGGTAGAGAGGCACAATATCTGGGTGAATCATACATAACACAGTCTCATCCTATTCAGCCTTCAGCTGGAATAACCATAGGCTTTTTCTGAAATGTCCCTCATCTCTCACTTGGGTTTCTGGCAATGAAAGCCCAGCTCTCGGGTTGCCTCCTGAGAGCAGACTTCACCAGGTATTCCTGGCAGTTACTCACCATCTGGTTGGGGAGGTGGTTTCAGATAGGATGAGCGTAGCTTTGACCTACGCTCACCCTCCATTGGTTCTTCAACCCCAGGCAAGTTCCTGAATCTCAGTTTTCTCATCTGTAAAGTGGGTATGACACAACACTGACCATGAAGGGCCCAGACCTTTGTCAGCATAGATACTTCTCAGAGATTGTTGGACCCTGTGGCATGTTTACAACCTTCTTGTAGTTAAGTGCCAACTAGTCAGTTCCAACACACAGTGATCCTGTATAGAGTTTGTGAGAAGCAGCTGGTGAGTTTGAACTTCCGACCTTCCAGTCCAGTGCATTATCCTGCAGCACCATACCAGGACTCCACTTACCACCTTAGAGGGGAGTTACTAAAAGCTGAGGTGGGCAGCCCGAGGACTAGATGGCTGCCCTTCTGAAAGTGGGGAAGGGGCGGTCGGGGTGCTGCGTGAGGAGCTGAGGATTCTGTGGTTTGAGTGGTGGACAGCCAAGGGCCAGGGAACTGACATCGGACCCCAATCCCAGGGTCAGAGCCATTAGTCTCATGCCTTTTGTTTGCCTTTCAGCTCCCCTTGTCACTGCTGAAGACGGCTCAGAATCACCCCATGGTGAGTGTGCTGCCTCTGGGGAGAGCCTTGGGAGAGGGGAGGAGACACAACAGGCTGTGGGCTGCCTGTTGGCTCCACAAAGCAGCTCCTCCCCACATTGTCCTGGCTGCTGTGCTGCCTGTGTGATTTTCTGGTGTTTGCTGAAGGGACACATTGCTTAAAGCAGCTCCTGGGGGCTGTGGAAGCTCCCCATCATTCCTATCCCAGCCAATTAACCAGTTCCTGGGCCATACATGTCCCACCACCAATGTCAAGGGAGTGTGAGTAGTTACCTTTCAGGTTTTTAAATTAAGGTCCCCATACCAGGAGACCCAGCCTTTCTTTGATGCATAGCTCAGTGGCAGTTAGTGTGTTTGTGGGTTGTGCCACCATCATCCACATCTAACTCTAGAACCTTTCGTCTCCCTAAAAGGAAACCCCAGATCCCTGCGCAGCTGCTCCCCTGCCCCTGCCCCTAATCTACTCTCTGTCTCCATGGAGTTACCCGGATTTGACTGTTCTGGACATTCCCCATCAATGGAATCTGACTTTGAGTGTTTACTGGTTGCACCCGGGCCTCCCCGGAGTTTCTTATCATACAGTATGTGGCCTTTTGTCTGCCTTTTGCTGCACGTCTTTCCGAGGCTCACCCACGTTGCAGCAGGCATCAAGGCTTCATTCCTGTTTACGGTTGAGTAACACTCCATGAAGTGGGTAGATCTTGTGGGCGTTTATCCATCCGTTCATCAGTGGGCACTGGGATTGTTCCTACCTTTCAGCTATTATGAATAATGTTACAGTGGGCAGTCTTAAACATATTTAGTCTTCATCTTTCTTGGGTGTGCACTTGTTAGTTGCTCTGTACTTCGTTCTGACTTACAGCGCCCCCATGTGTGCAGAGTACAAGTGTGCTCCGTAGGCTTTTGCAAGGCTGTGACCTTTAGGAAGCAGTTTGCCAGGCCTGACTTGTGAAGCATCTCTGGATATGTTCAAACCACTAACTTTTCGGCTAGTAGTTGAGAGCTTAACTGTTGGTGTCCCCAGGGACCACCTGAACCACCCCCCACCCCCGAGAAGTACAGGAGGAAACAGTACCTGGTGATCTGAGCTTGGGCTTTGGGGCCTCGGGGCCTGCATGAGGAGCCCAGGCCAGCAGGTGCACTGAGCAGCCAGGTCTCTTCCAGCTGGTGGAGCTGAAGAACGGGGAGACCTACAATGGGCACCTGGTGAGCTGTGACAACTGGATGAACATCAACCTGCGGGAGGTCATCTGCACGTCCCGGGTGAGCACCAGCCCTAACCGGGGCCAGTAGGGGAGGACTTGGAGGACTAGTGTGGCTGGAGGTGAACACTTGGCCCGAAACGCTTGCTAGTCGATGTGTGGGGCCCTTGAGACCTGTAGACAGAGCTGGGGTACTGTTCACACACACCTAGCACTTGTAATCCTCTGGGTTATAGAGTTAGGACCTGGGGGTACCAGAATAGGGGAATATGAAGGGAGGGGCTGGCCTTTCAAGGCCCTCAGAGAACCTGGACTCTGCACTTGTAGGGGTGCTGAGCAGGGCCGTGGTCCACTACCGCTCTACCTCACCGGTGTCCGTCAGCATCCACTCTGACCTCCAAGGGTGTGGCTTTGCCTCCCCACCCTCGGGTGAGGCTGGCATTGCTCCAGCGCAGGTCTATCCCCCACCAGCCTCTGCTGCTATCTGTCCAGACAAGGTCTGGCTTCCATAGAGGGCTGGGGTGGGTGTGAGACAGGTGTCCAGGCCACAAGCGGCCGAGACTCAAAGTGTGGGGTGGGGGGCAGTTCCCAAGAGTTTCAGGCCACCATCCTGGCAGTGACCCACAAATTAACCAGTGGTGAGGATAGCAGTTCTGGGGAGTCACCTGCTTCTGGCCAGTCAGGGCTATCCGCTGCCCCTGGGGCAGTCCATGCTCACACATCAGGCTTCTGCCTGAACTGCCTGCCTCGCCAAGGCCTCCCCCTCCCACTCTGGCAGGACAATATGGGGACCTCAGTGCCCCTGGATGTTCCTTTGTGCTCCACTTTCTGTTCATAGTCTATCTCGGGGTACTCCGAGGGCACCCAGACCATTTCTAGTCCAGCTATGACAGATGAGATAGGGCCACAAATAGAGTTGCAAGTATACCCGTATCCACTCCTAATGTGGGATCACTGAGTCAGAAGCCACGGCAGCTGGGATTTTCTAGAAGTCTCCAGACCATAGGCAAGTTGTCAGTGATTGCCTGTTCAACTGGTATGGCTTCCACCACCCTCACCTGTAAATGACTGTGGGCTGCAGAGTGGGTGCCTACCTAGCATCTAGGAGGGGGCAGCCTCCCTGGTCCTGGTATAGAGAGCAGGGTGAGAATGCAGCTGGGACCAGCGCTGGCACTGGGAATTATCCTGTGTCTGTCTGAACTCTACTTGCAGGAGGGTGGCAGGGAGGGGGCACAGCCTACATTCCATCTGTCCCTCCTCACCCCCGCCCATTGGATTGGGTCCCTGGAACCAAGAACTCAAAGTTTCCAGGGCGGGCGGCAGGAGCCAGGCATTGGTCCTGTAAGGGTGGCAGCTACCCAATGTCCCCTGTGACCAGCACCCACCCTTCTACAGGATGGGGACAAGTTCTGGAGGATGCCTGAGTGCTACATTCGCGGCAGCACCATCAAGTACCTACGCATCCCAGACGAGATCATCGACATGGTCAAGGATGAGGTGGTGGCCAAGGGCCGTGGGCGTGGTGGCCTGCAGCAGCAGAAGCAACAGAAGGGCCGTGGCATGGGGGGTGCTGGGCGAGGTGGGTCCCTCTTCCCTCCCTTATCTCCTGCTCCAGGTCCAAGCCTGGTATTGACATTCCTGGCCGATGCTGTCACCGTGCTCATGGCAGCAACCTTCACACACCCAGCCCACTTACCTAAAGCTTTAAGGGTGCTGCTCATGGACTGGTTAAGATCATCACCACTCCTAACCCACTGCCCTCTTCCTGCCCCGGTCATGTTGAGGTCAGAAAGCACCAACAAGAACTGAGAGGGTCTCAAGATCTAGACCGGATGGGGATTCCCCTCTGCCCCCTTTTCTTTTCTGGCAAGCAAATGTGAGCAGCTAGTGAAATTGGGGGCCTCGGTCCCTCTGTCTGCCCCTCCCTCCTCCTAGAGGCCCTCGGGCTTTGTCTTTTCCAGTGACACCCCCATCTGGGCTTCTGGGGAGGATCTTTCCCAGGAGCCAAGCCCCAAGGTCTCCCCTACCCTCCCCCAGACACTCAAGGCTCCTAAGGACAGGAAGAACCTTCTGGAAGAGTCACTGTACCTGCCTGGGCAGACACTCCATCCCACCCCATGCCCTCACCTTGCAGACAAGAGTATAGGTGCAGAAGGATCAGATAGCCAGGCTCCAAGTCTTAGAGCACCAAAATCCAGCCCTGGGTTCATGCAACCCCTCTCTCTGCCCACAGGTGTGTTTGGTGGTCGTGGCCGTGGTGGGATCCCAGGCACCGGCAGGGGTCAGCAGGAGAAGAAGCCAGGCCGACAGGCTGGCAAGCAGTGAGCTTCGCCTGTCGCATCCAGAGACTTGGGGGGGAGCTCAGCTCAACCTAGCCCACCCCGTGGCAGCACCTTCTGCCCAGGTCACACACCTGTTCAGGAACAAAGTGGTGACAGGTGTCCAGAGAGTCCCATCAGCATTGTCTTTCAGACCCTCTTCCTTAAGGAAAGCCTATCTTTGGGTTTTTTTTGTTTTGTTTTTTAAAGCAACAGTTCAAGTTGCACTATTATCTCCTTGTTTTTGGTTTTGCGGAGTAGCTATGGGACCGCCTCCTGAGTTTTGGGAGGCCCCGAGTGTGATGTGGCCTAGAATCCTGGTCTGTTTCTTGGCCCCGCATTTGGAACAATTCTCAAGGCCTCCTTCAGTTCTAGGCATAGGTCCCTGTACAGTGGCAAGGGGACCTGGTTTCTTTTCATTTGGGCGGCCCCAGATGGACTTTTCCAAACTCATGGGAGACCAACAGGTGCCCTAGGACAGGGTCTACGGATCCCACATTGTGTTTTTCCTCAGAATAAAGTCGGAGACAGCACATCTAGCTCCCTCCGAGCCCTTGAACCCAGCTTGAGTCTCAAGATCACTTCTCGCGAGAGCTGACCTTGCAAGGCTGAGGGAGCGGGGTGCGCCTGAATGTATCTTGTTTCTTTTCCTGGTTGCCCCGACCCCTCTACCTTCCACCATATAATGGAACAAACAGGTGATTTTATGAGTACCCCCATCCAGTTCACTAACAATGTTCCCTTATTTGTGCACATGCCTTTAGCTGATCCGTTTCACACCAAGATTCCGCTCCAGAGGGTCTGGTCTGTTCCCGGAGGAGCCCAAGTGCCCTCAGAATTTGCCTCCTTTGAGTTGGGATCATACCTTGGTCTCTCTGAGAAGCTTTGGGAAAAGGTTCTAGGCGTCAGGGCTCGGGACCCTGACGTCGTTGGAGAATGTGCACACTGCTTCCCCTGTGGCCTGTGGGAGCCGTCCTGGTCATTCCTGGGAGAAAAAAGCAGTGTATGGCGCTCCATGTGTGACCCCGAGAGCTGTCATCCTGCTCTGCCTACTTGCTGCCTCCTCAATCGTTAGACCATGCTCTGCTCCCATGTTGGCATCTCAGGCACACCAGCAGGGTGGTCAGTTAACCGTACTGTAGACTTGGGCAGTGGGGGGTACCCCATGGGCTAGAATGTCTAGTGGTTTTCATCCCCCAGTAGGTATGGGATACAGGAGGCCAGGACCCTGCTTCATCCTGGATGAGAGGTTGCCAGTTGGGATGAAGGGGTTGTGACCCATGTGGCCAGGTTTGGGCGTGGAGTCTACCTGTCCTAGGGTCAGGAGCTCTGTTGAGGTTACTCATGTTCTGGAGGCCTCTCCCCTCCTGTTTTCCTGGTTTGGGGGCTTGGCGCAGCCCTAATTCAAGCCAGTTGCACCTGCGTCACCGGCCCCTGGTGCCTGATGGGTGCGCCGCCCTGACCTTTCCAGCCCTCAGCCTGGCTCCCCGCCCATGACGCCAGCGCCCAGGCCGCCCCAGCTGAGATGCGGGGGCTTCCGGAAGTCTATCCTCCCACTTCACGGTGGGTTGTGTGGGAGGCCACCGCGGGTTCAGTCTCCTCCCTGGCGGGTTCTCAGAATCCTCATCCAAAGCTCCTCCCAGAGAAGAGAAACCAAAAGCGCTGGCCTGGCACTCGACCCAGGACTTCCCGTCTGATGATAGTATGTTGGGCGCGCCCTCACCACCTGACGCGCTGCGCCGGGCCACCTGAACTACTGTCTCGCTTTATCTCTGAATGTGTGTTTGGAGGGAGAGGGGGTCCTATGCGAAGCCTCTAATCTTCCTTGAGATCTACTTGGAAAGGAGGGTAACCCAAACCCAAGATGTGACTTGGCCTGGAGTCCCCTGTTGCAGTCAGCCCACCCTCCCCTCCCTAAAGGACTAGAGTCACTTTGGAACACAGATCCTGGAGGTCACAGAAAATACAGAGGCCTTGTCCCTTTCATTCCTCATCCCCGCCCACACTTGCGCCCGCCTCCTTGGCTGTGATTTGCAGAGAAGACCCCTTCCCCCTCCTAGGTTCAGCTACTATAACCCAGGACCCAAAAGCAGGCCAGGCTTGTGGGGGGGGGTGGGGAATTAAGTCCTTTGCTAGGCCCTGGGGACACAGCCTTGAACACATAGAAAGTCAGATAGTGGTAAGTGCCCCCAAGAAGAGAAAAACGGCCTGGAGGGCATGTCACAGTGTGAAAGGTGGTCAGGAAAGTCTATAGATGACACTTAGGGAAGCATTTGAGGGACAAGGGAACCAGCATTCTTGGGAAACTTCCAAATTGAAGGAGCAGTTGTATGATGAAAGGAGGGCCATTCATGGGGCAGAAAATGATGGGGGGGGGCGCTACAGAGAAGTCTGCACAAGACAAAGCAGTCTACCTACGTATGGGGGTGGGGGTGGAGTACCAAGAGAGCCAGGAGGAAGTGGGTGGAATTCTACACAGGGTGAAGACTTTGAAGGTCAGGTAGAAACACACAGGGGTAGGAGGCCCCTTGAGATACACTAGAGGGGAAGCCTCTTAAGGGGAGCAGGTCCAACCACAAAGTCCTGGCGTCTAGAGTAAAGGAAGGGTGGACAGGGGAAGCAGCAGTGCAGGCCCTTGGTCTGGAGGGAGCATGGCTTGCTCAGAGACAGTCAGGAACCAGAACTGGGGGCCAGCCAGTGGCCCCTGCAAAAAAAAAAAAAAAAATCCCAGACCATCGGCCCTAGTTCCTGCACCTGTATCTCACCTGACATTCCAGCAACTTGAACTTGTGATCATTACTGATCATTACTCGGCTTCAGGGGTGAGAGGCCAAGGGTTGAAGTTCCCTGTGCTCTGTCCCCCTGGCTCAGCCCTTGGGTTTCCAGAGCCACTTCCAACAGAGGCCAGGTGGTGATCAGCAACCCATTTCACAGATGGGGAAAACAAAAGCACAGAGCGCATTAGAATGTTGTTTAGTGCTGTTGAAGATTCTAACTCAGCAAATCTGTACAAGGTTTGCGAGGAGCAGCTGGTGAACTTGAACCGCTGACCTTGCCGTTCAAACTGACTTTGCAGTCCAGCACATTAACGCACAGCACCCCACATTGGAATGTTTTTGTTGTTAAGTGCCAATGAGTTAGTTCCTACCCATTGAGTTAGTTCCTGTATGTTTCCGAAGAACAGCTGGTGAGCTTGAACCACCAACCTTGTGGATCAAACTGACTTTGCAGTCCAGCGCATTAACACACAGCACCATATTTATTTCTCTTCCAGTGTGTACATGGCAGCTCCCAACCTTGGGGGAGGTAGAGGGCCACTGACAGTCCCCAGCAATGGAAACTGCCTCCTTGAATTGAAAGGTCCACCCTTTACCAGCTCACATGGGTCACTGGATCAGTTTGAAGACTAGTTAGCAGGGGCTCTGGTAATGTTGTTGTTGTTATGTGCCGTCGAGTCGGTTGCAAATTGGGCTGGAAACCTCAAGGTCAGCAGTTCGAAACTACCAGCTGTTCTGCGGGAAAAAGATGAGGCTTTCTATTCCCGTAAAGATTTGCAGCCTTGGAAACCCTGTGTAAGGTCACTATGCGTTGGAACCGACTCCACGGTACTTAATAACAACAACTGTTATGGAGCTGTAGGACAAGCGCTGGACCAAAAGGTCCTTTGAAATACAAGGTCAACAGTTCAATGTCACCAGCTGCTCTTCATAAACACCAAACAGGTTCGCTATGAGTCAGAACCAACTCAATGGCACTTAACAACAGTCAGAAAGGGTAGGGACAGGCAAGATCCTCGCCTGTTTTCAAATTCATCCCAATTGTAGCATCAACCAAGGCACACTGAAGCATGTGAGTGGTCAGTGCACCTAGGAAGTGTCTTAACCTGATGTGTCTGATTTTCCCAAGTGGTCAAATACAGAGATCATAGTGACATCAGGTAGGCGTCTTGGAATGGAGCCTAGTATGCAGCAAGTGTTCAATGAATACTGGAAATCATCTATGAGCAGAACCTGGGTGCAAAGCCTTACCAGGGACCCACTTCACCCCACGAAGCAGTGGAGGTAATATTCTGGAGGGGGCAGGTGACCAGGTTGTTGTCGCTGTGTTCCATTCCCCTGGCTCAGCCCTTGCGGCTGCCCACCGGGCCAAGCAATGACTCACCGCCCCGCCTCTGCTGGAACTGGGCACCAAAATAGTTGCCCAGCCCGCTCTGGGGAGTGGCCGTGGAAATAGTTCAGAGCTGTGTTCAGTGCCTAAAAATACCCCATGTGCCCCCCCCCGGTTACCTTCAACCCCCCTTCACTGTCAGCACCCCTGGGGCCTGCTCCTCTACACTGTACCCTACAGCAGGTGGAACCTCAGGACAGGTTGGACCTGGGCCTGTGGATTTGGGCGTCCTGGCCTCCTGTCCTGGCCTCCTGTTACCACGGAGACTCAATGCCAGGGGGGGTTTTTTGGTTTTTTGTTTTTCCTCAGAACCCTCCAGAAGGGCAGCCTCTCCTATAGCCCCAGAAGTCTCAGAGCCTGGGGCTGGCAGGTGGGGGCTGCCCTGTTCAGCAGTTTACTTTAAACATTGAATTTACTGTATGTATTTAAGTACCTGCCCATGCTCCCAACAACCCCACCCCCCCCCCCCCCCGCCGCCCCAGCTTTCTCTGCCCTTTTGCTGTGTGGGATCTCAGTGGAGTGGACTGTCCCCACCTAGTCCCCTAAACACCCTCAACATTGTCCCATCAGCCTCTCCTAGCCACAGACAACAGCACTCTAACTACTGCCAAGCAGCCAGAAGGAGAGGGTGGGTGGCAAGGGGAATTTGCCGCCAGGTGGGGGGAGGAGAGGGGGGAACAGTAGGTGGGAAATCCCTTGGGCAGGTGTGTGCTAGGCGGGCATTGGGGATAGGAGTGGGGAGAACTGAGCAGAGTCTGGCAGCCTGCAGCTGCCTCCTAAGAAGCCCAGCCTCCCTCATTCCCATTCCCCTCATCCTCCCTAGGGGGATGAGTCAACCCAGA